CACAACGCCCTGAGCCCCCAAAAGAACCTACAATCATGCAATCCCTGAAGCCTTAAAAGCCTTGCAGAAACCTTGAGCCCCTGAAAGGAAAGAAGCCCTCAAACCCTTACTTCAACCGATACGGGCCCCTACTTCAAGGCCCCGCAACCCTTAACCCTCAAACCGCTACTTTCAACCCCCCCCCCCCCCCCCAAAGCCCCCGTTCCTAAACCTGAAACCTGAACCCTAAACCCTGAACCCCAAACCCTAAACCCTCAACCCTAAACCAACCCTAAACCCTAAATCCTGGCCCTACACCCCAAACCCTAAACCCTAAACCTCCTAAACCCTGAACTCTGAACCCCAAACCCTAAACCCTAAACCCTAAACCGTAAACCCTAAACCCTAAAACCTGAACCCTAAACACAAATTGTATCGGGCCTCCAGATTGCCTCGCCGAGTCGATCATGCGCTGGGCCTTCGGGCCCTGCCCCTGCCTCAGGCAATGGTTTGGTAGGGTTTAGGGTTTAGGGTTTAGGGTTTAGGGTTTAGGGTTTAGGGTTTAGGGTTTAGGGTTTAGGGTTTAGGGTTTAGGGTTTAGGGTTTAGGGTTTAGGGTTTAGGGTTAGGTTTAGGGTTTAGGGTTTAGGGTTTAGGGTTTAGGGTTTAGGGTTTAGGGTTTAGGGTTTAGGGTTTAGGGTTTAGGGTTTAGGGTTTAGGGTTTAGGGTTTAGGGTTTAGGGTTTAGGGTTTAGGGTTTAGGGTTTAGGGTTTCGGATTCAGGGTTTAGGTTGTCAAGGGTTTAGGGGCTTAAGCGACCTCCTTCAACTGATCTTCGTGCCGGGCCTGGCGGCCTCTGCGGGTTTAGGGTTTAGGGTTTAGGGTGTAGGGTAGTTTGACAAAGTTACCTGTCCACGAGGCAGGCGGCCTCCTTAGTAAGGATTCCCCTCGTGAGTTGCTGCTACCCCAAAATCAATCTTGAAGGGCCTTTAACACTAAACCCTCAACGTTTCGGGTTACTAGGTTTAGGGTTTAGTGAGTTGGAACATCCAGGCTCACTTGCGTTTGGGCCTGGGATGTATGTCCGTACTTGTTCAAAGGTACTTGGTAGGGGCTCCTTACCCTAAACCCTAAACCCTAAACCCTAAACCCTAAATCCTACCTAACCCTAAACCCAAAGTCTTTGTTTCCTGTTCAAGGGGCTCCCTTTGCCAGGTGTCCATACGTTCATAGCCATCCCGCAGTGCAGGCGTTTCAGGGCAAGCGTTTGATGCTGACTGTGTGAGATCAGCTGCTTGGGTTTTTTCTAGGGTTTAGGGTTTAGGGTTTACAGTAGGGTTTAGGCTTTAGGGTTTACGGTTTAGCATTAGGGGATGAGGGCTCAGGGTTACAAGAGTGCAGTGCGCCTCTCACCAACTGTCATGCTCGGGCTGCCAGCAGCATCTCTGCTGAGTCGCCGGCCCCAGGGAGATCGGCTCAAACTTCTTGGACATTCCCAACCTGACTGTTGGGGTTTAGGCCTTACAGGTTGGGATGTCCGCGCTTATACGAACAGTCCTTAATAGGGGTTATCGTACCCTCTATTATAAGCCATATTAAGGGATTATAATAACTGGTAGTAGAGGGGAGCATCCCAACTTATCGGGTTTAGGAGTCGGGGGTAGGAAGGGTTTGAGAAGGCCGCTCGTTCGCTGATGCGGCTAGGAGCAACGACTGTACTGCCACACTGAGTGGCAACGCTGCCACAAACACATGCGTGCCAGTTCCTAAATTGGGGTCCCTTTTTGGGTACCCAACATAAGGCGGCACTCTTTAAAGGGATCCCAAAAAGGGACGCTAACTACCCATGCATGCTACTTTTTGTCCAGGCAAGATTGGCATACTTTGCGTCCAGACCAGGTCGCCAAACCCTAAAGCCGAACACCCAGTAGCTCTCTCTCTCTCTCTCTCTCTCTCTCTCTCTCTCTCTCTCTCAGTAGCAGGCCACAAAGAATCATGATAAGGGACCTGTTTGCCGAGCATTCCTATGATAGGGGTTGGGGCAGTCACCGTAAACCCTATAAACTCTATACAAGCCCTACACTCTAAGTAAGCCCTCTCGACCCTCCAAGCCCACTCACCCCAAGAAACTATCCAAACCCTTTAAACTCTCGAAACACTCTAACCCTTCTTATCAACCCAATAAACCCAACACCCAATAGCCGTAAACCCTAAACCCTAAAAGCCTAAACCCTCTAAGCCCTAAATCTTAAACCCTCAAATCCCCATAAAACCCTAAAAACATGAGTGCGGCCCTAACCCCCAAACCCGAAACCCCCAAATCGCAAAAAGCCCTAAGAAAGCCTAACACCTAAACCCCAAACCCCAAACCCCAAACCCCAAACCCTAAACCCTAAACCCTAAACCCTAAACCCCAAACCCCAAACCCTAAACCCTAAACCCCATGAAGGCAGGAGGCTGCTCCGCAAAGCGGATGACGTCGGCCACAGGGTCCGTTCCCGGACTGAGGATGAAGATGAGGGGCGTGGTGTTCACCTTGGCAGGATAGGGTTTAGGGTTTAGGGTTTAGGGTTTAGGGTTTAGGGTTTAGGGTTTAGGGCTTAGGGCTTAGGGCTTAGGGCTTAGGGCTTAGGGTTTACGGTTGGGGGTTTAGGGTTTAGGGTTTAGAGGGGTGCTTCCGAAGATGACCGCATGCTTGCTGCAACCTCTTTGTTCTGCAAATCGAGACCGTGTAGGTCAGAACAACCTTCAGAAATCATGATTTCGGGCACGCCGATGTCCAAGCTCAGTTTCATGGGATCAGGTAGGGGGGAGGGGAAAACACAAACCTTTGTAACCCTAAACCCTGAATCCTAAACTCTGAACCCTAAACCCTGAACCCTAAACCCTGAACCCTAAACCGAAACCCTGAACCGATTTGAGCCGAAACAGGCCAAAAGAAGAGTAAGCCCCGTGCCGAGTCAGCATAAGACTTGGCGATGTCGAAGGTTGGGGGGTCCACAAACTTGGCCCCAATCTCCTGAAAAAAGGTTCAGCGTTTAGGGTTGAGGGTTTAGGGTTTAGGGATTAGGTTTACGGCTTACGGTTCAGGGTTCAGGGTTTAGGGTCCAGGGTTTAGGGTCTAGGGTCTAGGCTTCTTAGGGTTTGGGAGGGTGCAGGGTTTCGAGTTCAGGGAAGATCTTTCAGAACTGAGGGCTTAAGATGTAACTCAGGGAGTGGTCAGAGCTTAGGGCTTAGGGCTTAGGGGCTAAGTTGAGGACGAAGAAGATCGGCTGGAAGTGGGTGGGTTCACTGGGCCCTTGTGACATGCTTGTTGCAACAACTCCTGGATCTAGGGTTTAGGTTCTTGTTTTTTTTAAACAACCCTGTGCACCTTTTCTAGCGCAGGCCACTGGCCAGGAACTTGAGGGCTTAGGGTTTGTGGCTTAGAGTTTAGGCTGAGCACAATAGAGCCGTATCAGCATGGCGTGACATGCAAAGACGGAGCAACGCTGACGAACACGGAATCTTCAAGCACACGATGCTGAGCATGTCAGTCGTAGACAGATGTACATGTTTGCATTTATACATATATGTAGATAAACGACATATCTACATATATGGGTTTCAATAAAGACATGCATACATATGATACATATGCATGCATACATGCGCATCATACAAATCTAAGCGTAAACTAAAATTAGACATAAACACACCCACACAATCACTAAACAAAACATGCACATACCCAGTGACACTGTTCAGGCTTTGGGTCCCCTTGTTTGGGAATAAAGGTTTAGGATTTAAGGTTTAGGAATAAGGAGCCAGCCCTTTCGCCCTATATCTTTTTCACACAAAAACCCATGACGCATGAAGGGTTCTGGGCCGCCTTCTATGGGTTAATTTTGGGGAAACCCCATAAACCCTAAACCCTTTAGACCCCTACACTCTAAGCCCATTAGACGCCTGTAGACCGTTAATCTATGGCCGATGGCCCATACCTGTGGGTACTTTGGGGGCAAGGCGTCACTGCAACTCCGACGGGAGCTAGAACGAGTTGGGATGTTCCCCCTTTTACTCACAGTCCTTCATCCTAAACCCTAGGCCCTAAACTTTTCAACCCTTATCCTAAACCCTAAACCCTAAACCCTAGAGTTCTGGTACTACAATCCCTCTGAAGGACTGTTAGACCTGGCTCCGGGCCTTGCTGATGAAGTCAATCACTGCGTTCTTCAGGCAGTCGATGCGGAAGCTGCGGATGAAACCTGGCCGAAAACGCCTTGAGGATACCCTGAGCGCACAACAGGGTGGGAGGATACCCTAAACCCTAAACCCTAAACCCTAAACCCTAAACCCGAAACCCTAAACCCTGAACTCACAACAGGGTGGGAGGATACCCCTGAATCCTAAACTCACGACAGGGTGGCGATTCAGCGGCGATCTGAAGCCCACTCGACCAGGTAACGACCCTCTCCCACTTGGCCCTCAGGGATCCCCACGAATCCCAGTGACTCAAAGCACATGGCATGACTTCCAGTCAAACCTCCAAGCGGCTGCGGGTAGTTCTCGAAACTAGGGCGGTAACTGGGGTCCCTTCGGTGTCCTTACTTTAAGGGTGACGCAATAAAGAGGGACCTGACCTAATTTAGAGGACAACCCACTTCTCAAGTGCAAACCTCAGAGGCCCAGAGGCTGCTTTAACCCCCTGATCGAGGCGATCTTTTCGCACTGCCCTCTCATGCTCGGCGCGACGCGAACGCAACTCTTTGCAGGCGTGTCCGAGTTCAGAACTTCCATCTGCGATCGTCAGCACGCGAGACACACCTCGGCCATGGTTGGGCCAGCATCATGACGAGGAAGTAGCTCAATCAGCCTCCATCTTTTCAGGGAGTCCTCCCAAGAAGGTGCGTGCCCAACGGAGCCCCAGGCCAAACAGCTGCTCCAAGAGGAATCCTTGCTACCACTTCGCAGAACTGCGTGGATGGCGAGGCTCCCAGAATACAGGAGCAGGGAGATGAGTCAGCCTCATGCTGGCAAGCGATCAAAGCACCCGCAGCATGTCTGAGGAGAGCTTTGGCACAACATAGTCCGGTCCTCGTGCTGCGACGGAGGAAACTTGCACGTTATAGTTTCTAAAAAACCTTCAGCCAGAAGCATCTGCCCCAAAACTTGCAGCTACAGTGCAAGGTACAGAAAAACAGTCACACACACACACATACACGGCCACTCGAGCACACGCTGCTCCCCTGAACTACAACCGGTCTCGCGTTTGGGTGTTTTGTTTGGGCTCCCACCCTGCGGATCTTTGCAAGGGCCGGGGTTTCTGGATTCATCATGGCAGGTCGATCCGCAAGCCCCAAGCTAGGCATCGCAAAGAGAGCTGCTTCTGCTGACGTGGGAGTCGGGGGAACTTCTTGTAGAGACTGGTACAGGCCTAAACCCTAAACCCTAAACCCTAAACCCTATAAACCCTAAACCCTAAACCCTAAACCCTAAACCCTAAACCCTAAACCCCCCAAACCCAAGAGATTGTCAGGGGTGACCATGGAATCGGGATCCTTTTTTTCACATTCCGGGCGAAGCAGTACCAGGATGAGCTATTATAACCAAAGAATCCCTTAAAGGCGCCCTTTACAGGGTTCATTGTGAGGTTTTTTTAAGGCCTAGTAGCCCATCCTGGGTACTTGGAGACGCAACCTACTCTGGAAAGAGCGCCCGCAGTCTGGCTTCATCGAACTGGCGCAAGTCCACCTGCAGCAGGCCTTCCTTGCTACTGCATGGGATTCTGCAGGCTGCCAGCAAATTCTGCACCGACGCCCGCACAGGGTATGTCTTGTGAGACTCCTGCGACATACCCTGGTCGGCTTTGATCTGGAAAAGATCGGGGCTCCCATTTCTGAACAGTTTGCCTGGAACAACTTCAGCCAGCCACCACAGCACTGCTAGCATGGCTGAACCAGCAGAATGGTCGGTCAGATCCAGCAGTGTGCCATCTCGTAGTAGCATGTCTGGCCAGGCGTTGTCCATGAGCGCTTGCCGGAAAAGCGTGGAGCTAACCTTCTCTTGGCAAGCTGCATCCAGAGCAACCGCATAATAGGCGCAGTCTGGCGACATGCCAGTGCATGCCAGCAGCAAGGCATTGTAGGTGACCTCATTTGGCACAAGCTTGGAAGTCAGCATCTGAGACAGCAAGAGCAAAGTCATCTGCCAAAGTCATCTGCCACTTGGCAGCTTCTTGGCATGTGCTGATGCCTGTATTAAAGCCTTGGTAGGTCAGCAACCATATTGTGATTATGGGGGTACCCTTTCTGGGTTTGGATACTTTATGAGGGAACTCAGAACCAAACAAGAAAAGGGTACGATACGACTGGGCTGCCAAGAAGCAGATGACATCTGGTAGAAGTTGAGCTCTCGGCATTTGAAAGAGCACGCCCAGAGCCGCCCGCCACTCACCAGCTTTCTGGCATGCGCTGAGGACGGAATTGAAGCTGAAGGCATGTGGCACTACTCTAGCGGTAGGCATCCGAGACGGCTAAGCACAGGGCCGTCTCCCACTCGCCACCTCTCTCGCATGCGCTCATGACTCATGGCAGCACTGTGGCTGATCTCACCTGATCCGTCTTTCAGCAATTGGAGTGCGCGCTGCCACTCCGTCAAGACTGTAGACGCCGCCGAGTCTTTTGCCGTTCTGCTTCTTTTTCTTCTTCGTGCTCTTCTGTCACTCCGGCTCTTCCCTCTTTGCAGCCGAGTGGGACCAGCACCCGAAGCGTCAATAACTGGCTGGAGCTCCCTGCCAGTGAGCACCGGGTCAATTGACTCTTGCCAACCTCGTTTCCGAGCTTCCATTCGCAGTGTCAGACCACGCTCTGTGCGCTCGATCTTGCTGGCGGGAAGGAAGGCCATTCGGACAATGGCACTATACACCCTAAACTCCACAAACCCTATAAACCCTATAAGACCCAGAAAGCTCCCCTAAACCCTAAACCCTATGTAAACCCTAAACCCTAGACCCCAACCCTAAACCCAAAATCTTCGACACCTGTAACGATACCCAGGTGTTTGTTGGGGCTTCCACCTTGTGGATCTTTGCAACGGGCGAGCCGAGAACAGGGCCGTTTGTTTGGGGTCTAGGGTGTAGGGCTTAGGGCTTAGGGCTTAGGGTTTAGTTTAGGGTTTTAGAGTTTAGGGTTTAGGGCCGTTTGTGTATACAACCCGCGCATACCCTCGCCATCGCTTCACAACCCTGTCAAACCCTAGAAGCCCAAAAACCCAAAACCCTGAACCCCATCTCTTCCACATGTGTGCGTGAGTGCCCAGGAAGACCGCAGATTCAGTCAGTTCTCCTCCGGCTTCGCCCTGAACTCGCTGTTTGTGCGGCCAATGCTTGGTGGTGATGCCTTCGGAGACGGCCTGTCGACAGGCTTAGGGATTGTTTTCGAAGGTGTAGGTCTAGGATACGTGCAAAGTGCAGAAGGAAGTGTGGCCTTACAAGCTATGTCTAGTCAACGCTTTATAGCATATGTCCATTCTACCATCCATGTCTATCTGTTCACGCTTTCTTCCAAGACGGGGACAGAAACCGCCACCAAAGAAAACCAAACAGTTCTTCGGAGGTACAGGGAAGTAGGATGACAGGATGCGGACCGTTTCAAATGTGGGGTAGCCATTCTCAGTGGGAATGATTCTCAGGGAGGCGCATACTACGGAGTCTGACCGAGCTCACCGAACTCAGATGCAAGTACTCACGGCCTATGAAGATTTGAAATCTTGAGCCCTAAACCCTAAACCCTCAACCCCAAACCCCAAACCCTAAACCCCAAACCCTAATCCCTAAACACCCCGAAATGCTCGCTCCTGCCTTCCGCCTCCATGCAGCCAGCTCATCCTGCAAGACTCCGGGTCACACACCCTAGACAAAAAAACTCCACGTCGTGTGCTGTGCTTTGAAGCTCTGAAAGGCTAAGGGAAGCCTAATCCCCAGGAGCCGGAAGACCTTGAATGTAAACCGCCTACACCTTAAATCCTAAACCCTAGATCCTGGGTTGCTCAAGTCCGTCTGGCCTGGTCCTGCGCGAAGCTGCGCGGAACCATGCAGACCTTTGCACGCCGGCTTTTTGCTGCACATTTTGTGCAAACTAGAGTTCAGGATGTGGAATGTGGGGTTCAGAGTGCAGAGACGCCCAAAGGGGAGGGTCAAGACAGGAATGACGACGCATGACGCTAGATGGGCCCGGGTTACCCATGCGCAACTGAATGCGGAGAACCCGGGGTCCCGCATACCTACGTAAAGGCACGAAATCAAAAAATAGTGCGACGCGGCTCTCATCAGAAGGTCCCACTTGTGTGGCCGACTCATAACATCTCACAACAGACCCACTTCTAAATATTAGGGTCGCCTGTAAGAAGAAGAAAACCCTAGCTGTCCGGCTCCAACCCCCAAAGGCCGAAGCCCCGTTCTCAGCTAGGATGGCCCTTAAAACCCTCTGAACATACTCCTAGCCTTCCTAGACCCTCTTAAACGCCATAAGGGGAAATGTAAAATCCTAGTCAGAGACATGTCTCCGGAACGGCCACGCGGAGCAGCTCCGGAGCTGAGACGACCGGATCCTCGGGCTCACCTGTGGAGTGGGCCGAGAAACCCGATAAACCCCAACAAAAACCCTAACAAAACACTGTATTCCCTAGAAGCCCTAAGAAACCCCATAAACCCTATGAACCCTATGAACCCGATAAACCCTAAACAAACCTAAAAACCCTGTAAACCCAGGAACCCTATAAACCCGATAAACCCGAAAACCCCTAAACCCTATCTTGCTCCATTGTAGGGCTTGGGGTTTAGTGTTTGTGTTAAAAGCTGGACTCGCTCCTTATTTCAAGTACGCGCGAATACCGTCGTCCAGTAGTGAAACATGTCGGTAGTACTCGTCGTTATCCCTTTCGTGGCCTTCCCCCCCCCACGCACCATGAACAACCACTAGCAACGCTCCCTAAACCCTAAACCCTAAACCCTAAACCCTAAACCCTAAACCCTAAACCTTAAACCCTAAACCCTAAACCCTAAACCCTAAACCCTAAACCCCAAGCAAGCCCAAAGCACGCCGAAGCCCTACCGGCCTTCATGCTCGACCCCGGGAGCGGGCTCACTCCCGTGAAGGAGGCGCGCATCCCACCTGGGGTGGGTGAGGGTTTAGGGTTTAGGGTTTAGGGCTTAGGGTTTAGGGTTTAGGGTTTCGGGTTTAGGGTTTAAGGGTTAGGGTTTAGGGTTTAGGGTTTAGGGTTTAGAGGCAGGGTTTAGGCGTGGACATACTGCCCGCCCTCCCCCTCCTCCACCCTACAGTGGGGTGCCATTGCCACATAATGTAGTTCCTTCTGCTTCGCAGCGAGACGCCCTAAACCCTAAACCCTGAATGCTCTCCCCTGAACCCTAAACCCTAAACCTAAGCCATAAACCCTAAACCCTACACCCTAAACCCTACACCCTACACCCTACACCCTAAACCCTAAACCCTAAACCCTAAACCCTGCCAGTCCAGGACGCAGCAGCAGGTCTCCGGGCTCCAGCGAAGCGCCGCGGGCGCCGGCGCCGAGTGAGGAGCCCTCTGGCAACGCCAGGAAGTCGCCTGCCAGGGGGTTTGGGTCTCAGAGGGACTGGAGTTTAGGGTGTAGGTTTTAGGGTTGCCCTAAACCCTAAACCCTAAACCCTAAATCCTAAACCCTAAATCCTGAACCCTAAACCCTAAATCCTGAACCCGGGATTTGAGGGGGCCCCTGCAAAGGGCAACTCCCTCAGCCCCTCCGTCCTCGCTTTCGCAGCCGTGGTGGGCCACCGAGTAGGTCGCCTAAACTCGAAAGCGTCTTAGGGTTTAGGGTTTAGGGTTTAGGGTTTAGGGTTTAGGGTTTAGGGTTGTTTGAAGCAGCATAAGCCCCGCAAAACAAATCCACCCCGTGGATGCACCCTACATCCCAAAGCCCTGAAGCCTCTGTAGAGAGACTCAGAAAGACACCAAAACCCCCAGAAAGCCCTGAGCCCTCCAGCTTTCTAGAGACAGTTCTACTCAGGTCATCGTCCCTCAAAGGCCTCCCGAGGTTCTTTCGCGGAAGAGCCGAGTTGATGAAACACAAATGTTGCACTACAAAACGAGCGCACATGTTTGCGCCATGTACTGCTAGGAGTGCTGGTGTTGGTTCCAGGATGCTGTTGTTAATTAAGAAGTTGAAATTTCACATGCCGCCACTGCAAGACATCCGGTGACTGCTCCTTGAAGCTGAGAGGCACAGTTCCTGCTGAGCTTCGGGCAGGTGGCTGCCTGCACACCAAGGGTTTGGGGTTTAGGGTCTACGGTTTAGGGTTTAGGGTTTAGGGTTTAGGGTTAGTCAAACGAAGTGAGCTGAGCCAGCACTGATTGCTTTACAACAGCTAGCCATTGAACAGCCACAGGTGCAAGAGAGGGAAGGCATCGGAGTCTCATGCCTTGGAGCAGGCTTGTCTACGCTGGTGCACGATTTATTGCTGCAGACTTCGGCTTCCCAGACATTGAGCCAACCCTAAACCCTAAACCCTAAACCCTAAACCCTAAACCCTAAGCCCTAAACCCTAAACCCTAAACCCTAAACCCTAAACCCTAAACCCTAAACCCTAAGCCCGCACCTATGGGAGCTGAATTGCGTTGCGGGAGCCAAAGGATGCCCTCAAATGTCAACCGGCACAAAAGCCTCTGGACCAACAGCCCAGACCCAAACGACCGCAGTTTCAATGGCACAATTAGGGTTGAGGGTTTAAGGTTTAGGGTTTAGGGTTTAAGCTCCAGCCCTACTCCTAGAAACATTAGCCTCTGGAACCACATATTGGTGGCTTAGGGTTTCCGGGTCAGGATTTACGGGTCTACCACGAGACCCAAGTCAAACCTAGGAATAAATGAGGGAACCCTTTTTGGTTTAAATGGGCTTGTAAGGGAACCTAAACCCTAACAAAACAGGAGTCAAAGCCTCCTCTGGATCCTAGGCCAAAGTTCGGAACTCTCCGCTACTCCCCTAAACCCTAAACCCTAAACCCTAAACCCTAAACCCTAAACCCTAAACCCTAAACCCTAAACCCTCTTCGGGCCTGGCACGCAAACAAAGCCGCCGGTCTTCCGGGGATCCGCCGCGGTCAGGCTCAGGAGTCCCTGGGTCGAGACTGTATCAGAAGCCCCCCAAAAAAAGAAGAGAACCCTAAACACTAAAACCCTAAACCCCTCAACCCTCAACCCTGAACCCTAAACCCTAAACCCGAAACCCTAAACCCTAAACCCTACTAACATAGGGGGTACTATAATCCCTACTTGCTAAGGGCTGTTAGTAAAAGGGGGAACACCCCCAGAGTCTCCCAGAGTAAGGGCTTACAGGGCTTTCGGGATAACTTCCCAGGAAAAACGCCCTCAACCCTAAACCCTTAAGCCATGTGCATGTACCGAAGTGCCAGAAGTAAGGGTTTACGGTAATAATCATCATCATAATGATACTAGTACTAAATACTACTTAATAACACAATAATATTCCAATAGACAATAATCGAATAGTTCTGATTTCGAAAAAAATAAGAACTTTTCCCGGCCACAGGCCCCCAACCAACCAAGTACCTTTTTAAGACACCCCACCTGGGACCAAGTCTAGATCTTGCTGGGGATTCACGGTACCTAAACCCTGAACCCTGAACCCTGAACCCTGAACCTTGAACCCTGAACCCCCTAAACCCTAAACCCTAAACCCTAAATGGTACTTGGGGGGTCTAGGCAGATCCCAGGCCTGAATGGCCTCCAGGTCTGGCCGCCGGTAAACCTTCGAGATGGGTTCATCGGGTTTAGGGTCTATGGTCTTTAAGGGTGTGCAGGGTTCATATGGGTTTATAGGGTTTATATATAGGGTCTAGGGTTTAGGGTTTAGGGTTTAGGGTTTAGGGTTTAGGGTTTAGGGTTTAGGGTTTAGGGTTTAGGGTTTAGGGTTTAGGGTGCGAGCGCGACGAGAGATGTTCAAGAAACCAAAGCTCTCCGGAGCCGCATCACCGGATGTAAGGTGTTTGGTTCAGCCATGTTAAGCCTGAACTTGTAAGTTGTTTAGGGTTTAGGGTTTAGGGTTTAGGGTTTAGGAATTTATGAACGATTGTAGTCCATTAAGCTCTTGTCCCCGCGACGTGCTTCTGTGCTTGCAACCGCGAAGCGTTCTGATCGGCGTGCAGCCTCGGCAGGGGCGTGGAGGGAAAGGGTAGAGTTTGGGGTTTGGGGGTTTGGGGTTTGGGGTTTGGGGTTTGGGGTTTCGGGTTTGGGGGTTTGGGGTTTGGGGGTTTTGGGGTTTTGGGGTTTTGGGGATTTGGGTTTGGGGTTCGGGGTTTAGCGTTTCGTGCGTGCGCAGGCGGGTCAAGCCTGTTGGGATTTGGGGCTGAAAGGTTCTGCAGGACGCGCGAGAATTACGGAAGTAGCGAACGTTTCTAGTGCAGCGGGTGGAAGTAGCCCGTCTTGCCGAAAAGTGCAGCGTGGCGCAGAACCCATAAGCACACCATGCCTGCAACGGCAGCTGTGTAATCCTATAAACCCGAAACCCTAAACCCTAAACCCTAAACCCTAAACCCTAAACCCTAAACCCTAAACCCTAAACCGCCAGATAGCACAGTCGACATGTACGGCTAAGCTTCTGCGACCCTGGCTGTATCAAGGGGGGCCAGGGAGCCCAGGCCTCGAAGTACAAGTGGCTGGAATAGTTCAGACTAGTTCATGGTTGGGAAAATAAGGAAAATGTATTATTGTTTATTCCTTATTTGGTTTAATAAGTACCCTTAAACATGTAAAATGGTACCCACCTATGACTAAGCAAAGGGCGAGCCATATCATGTACTTCACAATACAGTAGCAACAGCGAGCCTTTGTGTGCCTGGAAAGACGCAGCAAGGATTCAGCAAATGACAATCAATCATAGAAACTGGAACTCATGCACTTAAATGCCCTGAAGCCTGAAGCCTGAAGCCTGAAGCCTGAACCCTAAAGCCTAAACCCCAAGCCCTAATCAGCGAACTGGAGCCTCTTACAGTGACATGGAGCCAGCTGCCCCGCGTCTTCCAGGGCTCCGCGATGCCCGCAGGCTTCTGCTGCCAGGGCCGCCAGAGGATCAGTCCGTCCTCGAGTGTAGGGTTTTTTTTTGAAATGCAATGACTCCCTTTCTCCAAGCAAGCCCGCCCATATAAGGGCATGCACTGTAGACCCCAGCAGGGCTTGTAGGGTTTAGGCTTTAGGGTTTAGGGTTTAGGGTAGCCCACTCAGGGGGGAGGGCCGTACCATTTTAAGGTTACGGTTTGGGGTCCAGGGGAGCGCCATCATTGCTGTTCCGTCTGCTGATCCGCGGTGAGAGATGGCTCTGTATTCGTTTAGGAATATCATGATACTGTATCAATATCAATATTCGTATGAAAACTAAAGTTCTTGCTCGTCGCATCCGTACTCAAATAACTATCACAATTCATGTCCATCTTGGTGCCTTGGTCGATGGTTCAGTGCTTGCACTTTCAACACTTCCAGCTTGCTAAGGCAAGAGGTTCGGGAAAGCTCAGCACCCAAATCGGCATGAACTGGCATGAACGCATTGGGAGTCACGGTTCAACCCTATATCAACCAGCCCCAAACTTTATACCCCATTTGGACGATATTAGCGGGTACCTTCTTGCTACTTGGGGGTCTATATTTGGGGTCCCCTATTTTCGTACCTCAACAACAATGCCAGAGATTGGCTCTGGCATACTCAGGTCTTGAAGGAACCCCTGACGTGAAGCCTGCACGCTGCAGGAGGGCCTCGGGACTTTGCCAACACAACCGAAGCAACTAGGGCTTAGGGCTTAGGGTTGAGGGTTTAGGGTTTAGGGGGTTTGGGGTTTAGGGTTTAGGATGTAGGGTGTAGGGTGATGCAGCTGGGCGTCCATGGAGGTAAGCAGCTGACTGGGCTCCACTCCCTTGGATGCGGCAGAGTCCCCCTGAACCCTGGACTCGCTTTGGAAGGCTTTTTGACGTAGTAAGAAGGTTTAGGGTTTAGGGTTTAGGGCTTAGGGCTTAGGGCTTAGGGCTTGGGGTTCAGGGTTCAGGGTTCAGGGTTCAGGGTCTTAGTATCTTCCTGGAAACCCTGTTGCAAATTGTAATCACCATGACCCAACTTACTAAGCCTACATACTAGGTTAAACGGGCTTCAAAGCGGTAAAGCACCATAAGATCCCCAAACCCTTTAAGGTTTGTCAAGCACATGCAGCGCATAAGTCCTTCATGAACTCTGAAAGGCACCCTCTCAACCAAAAAGCCCTCTGAGCTCAAGACCGGTACCTCAACAAACAGGGTTTAGGGTTTAGGGTTTAGGGTTTAGGGTTTAGGGTTTAGGGTTTAGGGTTTAGGAGGCGGGCAGGTCTCGAGCAAGTTGGAACCGCTATCATGGGGAGTGCAGGGCCTATGCACATGTGAGGGCCCGTCCCCCTCCAACCAACGCACGAAGCTCCAAAACGCCCTAAACCCAGAGGCCTGAACCATTGCAAGAGAGATTCCCAAAAGTGCGCAAAGGCCGACTGGACTGCCTCAGGCCGTCTTCAGCGGAGCTTTACTGGCAGTTCAGACCAGTTCAGAAGCGAAACTTTGAGGGAACGTTGCGCCACAGGTCTGCAAAGCAAAGTTGCACGCGACTCGAGCAAGGAGAAGCCTCAACCTCCTAAACCCTAACCCTATAACCCTAAACCCTAAACCCTAAACCCTAGAACAAAGACGGGACACGGCGTGCCCCCGCACTCGCCATGCCCCGGCTGCCTGCCCAGCGCCTGCAAGCATGCGGCTGGTCATTTAGGGTTAGGGTTTAGGGTTTAGGGTTTAGGGTTTAGCGTTTAGCGTTTAGGGTTTAGGGTTTAGGGTTTAGGGTTTAGGGTTTAGGGTTTAGGGTTTAGGGTTTAGGGTTTAGGAGTCTTAGAGTTTAGGGTTTAGGGTTATTTCTAGATGTAGTGAAAATGTTTGTCCTACGAATTCTGAGCAAAAACACGGCCCTGAATCCCTGAACCTCAAACACCTCACTAACCCTCAGGCTCCAAGGACTCCTCTGAGGTATTTGGGCCCAAAGGCCTTATTATGAAAGGTCTTTGGGCAATTTAATATTTTAAGCCTGAGGGTAAACCAAACGAGATTATAGGGCTTAGGGGGTTGCGGGGGTATAGGGGGTATAGGGGGTTTAGGGTTTAGGGTTTAAGGGTTTTGGGTTTAGGGACCTAAGCCCACCTGGAGCCCGAAACCTTGCCACTGTCGAGCCTCGAACGCAGACGATGCCGGTGGACATGTTGTCTCTAGGCCTTGTTTTGGGTTTAGGGTTTAGGGCCTTTAGGGTTTAGGGTTTAGGATATAGCGTTTAACGCCGGAGTTCACCGGAGTTGTTGAGCTTGGTTCTGTTGGTGGGGGGGGGGGGGGGGGGGGGGGGGAGTCCGACATGAAGAGTCCAAGCGTGTCGCGGGTTGAGGGCTTAGAGGGCTTAGGATGGTTTAGGGCTTCTGGTTTTAAAGGGCTTTTGATTCTAGGGCTTAGGGCTTAGGGTTTAGGGAGGCTTGGGGTGCCCGAAGCCCTGTGGCCCCAACTTTGCCCGACCTTGGAGCCGCCCGTGACTTCGATGGGATCCGCCCCAACACGCAACCCTCAACGCTGAGGGCCTTAGCCCTGGGCCCCTAAACGAATTATTCCACCCTCCTTCAGGGGCTATTAGGCCTTCTAATCCCCCTAACCAACCTTATAAAGGGCCGTTTTAAAGGGTTGCAGGGTATAATAGCTCATGCAGGCTATGAGCAGTTCTGAGGCCATGGCCATCGGCGATCACTCATCGTCCACGTTGTTGGATCAGACCTAGACACCGCACCTGCAAGGCAGAGAATAGGGTGAATGACCCTAGTTCCAGAACCCACATAAACTTCCAGAGTGTTTTTGAAGGGGCGTAGGGTTCAGGCTTTAGTGCTAGGGCTTTAGGGCTTTAGGGCTTGGGGTTAGGGTTTGTGGTGGCTTGGGGTGGACTGGGGCGGCATTACGGCTGTTGCGATGGGTTTTGGGGCAGGGCTGGCGAGGCTTGGGTTGATTGCTGTGTCAGGACACACATGTGTGTTGTTCTTTTCTGCGCGTGCGCCACAACGTGGTCAACTATACTACAATGCCAAATTACTATTATATTAGGGCCCCACCAGTATCCCAAGCCCTATAACCCCAAGACCGTTCAACCCAGTAGCCATGTATCCTCTTCGGATTTAGGATTTAGGGTCTAGGGTTTAGGGCCACACCAACCTAGAGCTTCGTAGCAGACCTCGAACCGCACCAATTCCCCGCGCACCTCCGCTGCCGACACCTCAGAGCAGCATCGCACATGGGAGTTTGCGAAAAGAAGGGACCCCGAATATAGACCCCCCAAATTGTCAGATTCCCTGATAACACTGACACCAATAAGTTATCCTCCCCCCCCAATTTCGGTAACCCCCGCATGGCACTAAAAGTTAGCGCAAACCCTGAACCGAAACCCCAAAACCCAAGAACGGTCTCTGGGCTTTAGGGTTCAAGTCGCGTCCCGAGCGCTGGAGGTTCCGAGTTTCACAGGCCAACCCTTCTTCAATCTCCGCATACTGAACCGCTACATCTGCCCATGGGGGCTCGTCATACCCTTTAAGGGCTTGGTGTTTTAGGGCATTGTTTAGAGTTGTAGAGGGGTTTAGGGTTTGGGGCTTTAGACCCCAAACCCTAGACCCCGAACCCGAAACCCTCAGAGGCTTGAAGGGTGTAGTTGGCGGGTCCCTTCTTCTAAGTCAGGGTTCAGGGTTCAAGCACTATTGCCGCGATGTCAACTTGCATAGCTCTGTCCCCCTAAGGCTCCATGTACCCATATAGTAGATACCTAGGCCTTAAAGGGGTTCCTATAAGGGTACCTTAAGGCCTAGGTATCTACTATAAGGGTACATGGAGCCTTTGGGTCCATGATTACTCTTGACTCACGTGATTGCTTGCTTCTGGGGCGACTCCGGGCCTTCTAAAACAGATTGAAGGTTGGATACTCAGCACCTATGCCAACGGCTCCGGATGGGAAGCCCTACGTTGTTGCACTGATTCAAAAAAAGGCTGCAGGCTAAACTGAACTAGGTCATCCCGTAAACCCTGGGCAAGAAAGTATATAGGGGGGGGGGGGGTCCTAAACCCTAAGCTTTATTTTGGGTACCCCAGAAACCTTTTAGGACCGATTTCTCGCAAAATTCAAATCCCATGGCGAACCTGTAACCCCTATATGGGGGTTTACGATAATAAGGGACCGCAAAAATTGACCCAAATAGTAAGATCCCTTTGTAAAACAAAGGACCCCAACAAGGTACCCCTAATATCGTAAACGCCATGGTTAACATGGGCCCATGGGTTGAGAGGCTTCGGGTTTAGGGTTTCGGGAAACGCCAAACGTGCACTGCCCCAAACACCCCCCCCCCACTTGAACATTTAACGGCATTCCGGGCTCAGGGACTCACGTACCCTAAGGGTCCATGTGCCTAAATAGAGAATATTTAGGCCTTGAAGTACTTCCTCACCAAGGATTTGGGGCCCAAGTACATAATAATGAGGTACATGGACCCTTAGAGATACAGGGCCCGGTTTAGGGTTTAGGGTTTAGGGTTTGAGGTTTAGGGTTTAGGGACAACACCGCCCACCAGCGCCACCTTCCAGCCAATCCCAGATGTCGTTCAGGATGGCCTGGTTTAGGGTTTAGGGTTTAGGGCTACTAGACCCAGGAGTAACCTAGGTACCCTTTTGGGTGTTAAGGGGATTCCCTAACCCTACAAGAAGGGAATGAGGGCCTACTCCGGGTCCTATGAGCCCTAGATGTCAGCAAGCCCTGCCCCAAACCGAGGTGCAATATCAAAACACAGATGCACCTGGGTGCGAAGGACCCCCTCGCCCGCCACCCCCACCCCTGGCTTCTTTCTAGACCGACTGTGCTGTTGGAATAGTCTGCAGTTTCCCTTTGGTCTTGAGAAAGGAGATTTGTGTTTTCCCCCCCTCGGGTTTCGGGGACATACATTCAAAAAAGGCGATAAGCACAAACTAAGGAGATGCCCGCCGTAAACTCCTCAAGACCATGAAGCAACAATCGCCAGAGTGCCTACGCCGCAAACATCAGATGATCCCCGCGACCTCTTTTTGGGGGCCCCTAGACAACGGTTTAGGGTTTAGGGTTTAGGGCTAGTACCCTTCCGGGTACTAATCATGAACACGGGCACCTAAATTTAGGGTGCCGTAGGACCCCATGATCTTGACAAGATGTCTTGCGCCAGGACGCATGCGAACTGAACTTAGGGACTAGACAGAGGAATGTAGGGACTGGGGGTTGAGGATCTTTCCACTATAGGGCTTCTGCGGGGCTTCAGGATGTAGGACTCCGAAGCATTTTTTGGAAACCTTCAAGGACCACCCGCAAGTATAGCATAGCTAAAATATAACAACAACCCTAAACCCTAAACCCTAAACCCTAAACCCTAAACCCTAAACCCTAAACCCTAAACCGCGCATGTTGGAGTCCCTGGCCCCATCAAGCTCAAAGCGGCCTCTCGCTCCACTGGCGGCACGGCTCCAGCGAGGACGGCCACCCCCTGTTGTCGGAGGGCCTCGTTCCAGCCACCTGCTCTTGATAAGGCTGCCTTAAGGGGCTTTGGGGGTTTAGGGTTTTGGGGTTTGAGGTTAGGGGTTTAGGGGTTTAGGGGTTTAGGGGTTTAGGAGTTTAGGGGTTTAGGGGTTTAGGGGTTTAGGGGTTTAGGGGTTTAGGGTTTTAGGGTTTAGGACTTCAGGCTTTCAGGGTTTTAGGGTTTAGGGTTTCGGGTTTAAGCCTCCATCGTGAGCATTGCAGCAGGTGCATTCGCAAAGACCTGAGGGCCCTCACCTGGGTCTTGACAAGAACACCAGGTGCCTGAGACCGAGCCGTTATGGGGGATTCCGAAAATAACAATAAATGGGGGTATCCTTTTGGGGGGGTCCCTTTAAGGGGAGTATAGCTGCAAGCAACCACAACATGTCAGATTTCACTGGCCATGACGCCAAACCAGACTAAGCCCAAGACTCTTTGCCCAAGACACGTGCAACCATCAGAAGATCATCACACGCCCCTATAAAGTGATTATGGAGTAAATCTTCAACCCTAAACCCTAAACTCTAAACCCTAAATCCTAAACCCCGATATCAACTTGGGGTCATGAAGCTTCCTGGCGCCTGTGTCAGAAGGATGGAAGCGAATCTCGGCCGGCAGCGCCTGACAACCCAGGCCGGCCCAGGATCCAAGCAACCCTAAACCCCAAACTCTAAACCCTAAACCCCAAACCCTAAACCCTTCATCTCCAAATTCCGTGCTAAGCAAGCTATTCTTCGAGTGCCCGCTAAACTAGGTGCATTGGGGTCCGAGGCTTTCGGGATGTTGGTTTTTTGTTGAGCGTGCCTGGGTCCTCCAGAATGTTGAGGCTGAGGGTATAGAGCTTATTATAAGGTTTATAAGATCCAGGGTTGAGGGTGTAGGGTTTATAAGGCATAGGGTTGAGGTCTAAACCCTAAACCCTAAACCCTAAACCCTAAACCCTAAACCCTAAACCCTAAACCCTAAACCCTAAACCCTAAACCCTACAAGCCTAAACCCTAAACCCTAAAACCCTAAAACCCTAAAACCCTAAACCTTTACTGTGGGGCGGAAGCACACACGGCAATGCAAGATCAACAGGATTCGGCCTCAAAGCTTTAGGCGCGAAAAAACCCTTGGGAGCCCTGAATCGTCTGGCAGGGCTCGGTCTAGGATTTAGGGTTTACAGGGTTTAGGGTTTAGGGTTTAGGGTTTAGGGTTTAGGGTTTAGGGTTTAGGGTTAGGGTTTAGGGAACTTGAGCGTTTCGACCCTTTGTGTCCAGCAACGCTTTATAGCTCCTGTCTGCATTCTTGGCAGGTGTGGGGAGGGAACGGGGGGGGGGGCAATATCGTTCAGACCCACCTGCGCAATTGCAGCCGTTCGAGTGCAACGCGTCAGTTTAGCTTAAGGGTTTAGGGTTTAGGGTTTAGGGTTTAGGGTTTAGGGTTTAGGGTTTAGGGTGTAGGGCTTAGGGTTTAGGGTTTAGGGTTTAGGGCTTAGGGTTTCTCATCACTTGAACACACAGCGGATACATGCTTCAACAAGGCGCGTTTCCTGTGAAAGGCTTCTTTCCGCGGACACTGGAAACCACACTTCGGATATCAGCCACATGTTCCGGTGTCCCCACCACGCACGGTCAATTACCACCGTGGGACCATTGACCAAAGCCTGAACACTTAAGCGTTGTCGCGGACATGCTTTTGTATTCTGCTCGCCGGCAAAATTATTTAAAGCATGTGCTTCTTTTCGGGTCTTTTCCTCCTCTCGTGACTCGTGCTCCTTTGTTTCCTCCATCTCTACAAGCATGCTCCGGGCTAATGCGCACCCTCGTACCCCTTCAACAAGAAGAAGCCAACAGTGAGCCAATACACGGCATAGCAGCCAGCAATAATTTCCAAGGAACTGTCAGGGCCAGGGTCAGCAAACAACAAATTCTAAACCCTAAACCCTTAACCCTGAACCCTAGCTGCTCGACTCTACAATTGATATGTGGCTGCCTACCTGACAGTGACGGCGTGGCTACTGTTCATCTGACCATCGACATGCGTATTCTGGCACGATTACATCATTGCAGCAGCAGTGGCGTTCAAAATAACACGGAAATGGCCGATGGCCGATGATAAGAGTGCCAGAACATTAGGGACGCGCCACCTGCATTGTATAAGTACTAATAGTATTATTCCCTTATGGCCTCTGGGGTATAAGTACTAATAGCATTCACTCCCTTATGGCCTCTGTGACAAGTCTATACTTTCATCACCCCGGGTATAAGTACTAATAGTTAATAGCGTTCCCTTATGGCCGTTATGATAAGTCTATACCATAATCACCCCCCAAAACCCTGAGCGAATGAGTTAGGCTCCGAGTAGATCCGAAATCCAGCGGTCCAAGGCACATTGCAGCGTTGGAGGCCCGGGGGGTTTGGGAGGGTGGGGGATGGGGACACATCCCTAAACCCTAAGCACTAAACCCTATGCTGGGCTTATGGGTTTGAAGGTCTACAGGAATATTGAGTTCGAGGATTGGGGGTTTCGGAGAGAAAGCTTGGGGAGACGGTACGGTAGTCCGTGGGTCGGGCATGTTGCGCCATTCGGGTTGATGGGTCGTTTAGCATAGGCGGCGTCTTCAGATAGGGCATCTGGCAGAGCGTTGTGGGTAGTTCGATGCAAGTCGCAGGATGTGTGGAATCACTTTAGCGTCCTGCTTCTTCAGAGATAGCCCCCAAGCACAGCGAGCCCGTGCAGGTCACTTTTCTGCCGGCATACACCCTACACCTCAGAGGTTCTTTCAGGGTTAGGAACGTTTGTTTGTGTTCCCAAGTGTGCCCCAAAGAAATCCCCAAAGAAGTTAGAGCTGGTGTTGCTTTGATTGTCGAGTGCAGAACTCCAAGTTTCTACGGCTTGGTGCGCAGGTGGTCTCCAAGAATGCAGGCAAACAACCCCCTATCCGCAAGCGCGGCTGTACCTGCACTTTCTAGCGCAAACGAACCTCGAAGCTGCCCCCAAAAGTCAAGGGGCACTGGACATTGAAAAGAAACCTCCGCTACATGCCTGCTGAGTGCAGTCATTACCAGAAGCTTGTGGTGAGGTTACGTGCTGATGGAGCAGCCGCTCCAAATCCTGTTACAACCTATAGCCTGAAGTTCCCAGATCTTAACTAAGGAATATACTAAAATTCGCCGAGCCTTCTGTTGTCGGCGATCCCAAACCCCACATATGAAGTGAATTGGGGGAAACCTAAGCCTCAAAGCCAAAGTTCTTAACTCCAAAACCCTAAACCCCAAACCCCAAACCCTAAACCCAAAAACCCCAAAACCCTAAACCCGACACCCTAAACCCTAAACCCTAAACCCGACCCTCAACCCTGAAGGGCCGGCCTGAATGTGCGCATGCCGGCGAACGCAACGCCGCCAGCCAAGAGCACAGGGAACTGCCAGAACGGCAAGGGGTCCCAGAGTTCGAACGGAGGTCTGCGTGGGACTTCAAGAACAGTACGTCAGCAACGTAAGAGGATGCCTCAACCCTAAACCCCAAACCCCAAACCCTAAACTCTAACCCCTATAAGCTCTAAACCATGAACCCTAATCAAGCTCCAGCTCCCGAACTCCCACCCGTAAAAACCCGCAGTCAGGTACCCCATGGGTCCTGATTTCGGGATGCTGGGGGAGTGCAGGCACCCGTGAACCCATAAACCCAAAGCCGTAAGCCACAAGCCTTATAAACCCCCACAACTTCTAAAACCTTACAAATCCTAGAAGCACCAAACACCAAACCCCAAACTGAACTGCAACCCGAACAACCCCTATATGAACACAGAAAACCGTAATCCCTGAACCCTATAACTAAGCACGATAAGCCCTAGTAAGCCCTAGTTCCTAAACTCTGCAAATCCTCGGCCCTAAACACTGCAAAGCTAATATACCCTAAACCCCAAACCATATAAACCTTGCAAACACGACAATTGCCTATCAGCCTTGCAGGCACTGCACTGCAATCCCTATGCACCCTACACGCCCTAAATCCTCAACCCCATGCAATTCCCAAACCCTAGAAATAACACCTATGCACAACAAAGCCTCTGAAAGACTATAAGCCCCAAACCTCTCTTGGCAGCCTATACACCCTATAGTCACTACAGCCATCCAAGTCCTATAAACCTTATAAGCAACTACTCTATAGCTCACCAACCCAAAACTCATACGCCCCATACACACTAATGCTAAGTCCAAAAAAGTGTGTATATATATATATATTTATATTTATGTATTTATGCATGAATATATGTATATATATATATATATATACATTTTTTGTGTCCCCAACCCTCTACACACTAAGTCTGTGTGCACATATGTGTATATGCATGTACATATGTATGTATGTATGTATATATATATATATATATACATGCATACATACATATATACACATACGCATATGTATGTAGTATGCAATATAAATCATTAAATAAATCAAGAAACAAATAAATACAATAAATAAGTGAATCAATCAATGAATGAATGAATGACTGAATGAATGAATGAGTGAATAAATAAATGAATTCAGAAACACACACACACATATGCATAAATGCAAAAAAGAAGAAAATAGATAAATATGTATTGCTATATACTGATTATGATTACATGACATTACATTTCATTACACTACAAGACATTACATTGCACTGCATTGCATTGCGTTGCAGTACATTACATTCTATTCGCCCTCAACCTCTTTGGAGCCCTGGTGCCTAGTAGGCGCAGCGTCGCTTTGCCAGATCCGAGAGCCAAGAGGGACGGCTGCAACGTCGGCCGGGAAAGCCTGATAGCATGTGGGAAAGTTTAGGGTTTAGGGTTTAGGGTTTCTGAAGCCCCAAGATACACGGTACACGGTCTATGTCTGTAGGCACATCTGAAAGGCTTCTGGAAATCGCGGGGGGTCTACATGTCAAAATGAATCAATGCCGCCAGTCTGCTAGATTTTAGCATGCGTTTAGGGTTTAGTGCTTTTGCTTGGGGATTTAGGGCAACCAGGCAAGCCAGCTCGAACATGCACATGAACCCCAATGAACGTACCACAAATGAGAAAACCTGGCAAGTTTGGATGAGCCCTCAAAACGTAAAGCCCATGATTCAACTGTAAACCCTAGCAAGCTTCCTATAAACCTTATATCGTAAACCCCCCCCCCCCCCCCCCCCACAAGCCCTAAATCCGACACCCTTCATGCCTTAACAATGTCTATAAAACCTCAAGAACATCAACCACCTCCCAAAACAGCATGGACATTGATGTATTTGTTGGCAATGTATATGTATATACACACACACAAACGCTGGACTCATTCGGGAAAGAATCCAAAAACCCTAAACCTTCAACCCTAAACCCTAGACCTTAAACCCTGAACCCTGAACCCTGAACCCTAAACCCTAAACCCCAAACCCTAAACCCTCCAAGCCCGTCGACGTGGCCTGGTTGCGGCTGCGGGTGGTCGGGAAGCTGACACCCGAGGCGGCCCCAGGGCTTTCATGGCGCCAGCTAATATAGGGGGCCTGAATGAAATTGTTTAGGGTTTAGGGTTTGGGGTTTAGGGTTTAGGGTTGAGGGTTTAAGGTTTAGGGTTTAGGGTTTAGGGCTACTATATATGGGCCTGAATAAGTCGAACAGGGTTTTTTTTGGGGGTTATTTATTGTAGTGCTTCCGACCCCCATATTACGCGGACAGGCAGCTGTTTCGGTGGGTCCAGGTTTGTAGAGCAGAGCTTAGAAGTTTTCAGAGGTTTATCCGGGGCCCTGAGTTTAAGGGGTTTGTAGTTTCTAGGGTTGCCGCTTTTAGGCGGCTGACTCTTCAAATTCTTCTGTGCGCACCATCAGCCATGAGATACAAGAAGCAGGTGCAAACGCACGGCTTGGGTGCCGGGGTGTACAGCAAACCCATCAGAAAGGGTGCCCTTTTTGGTTTAAAGGGATCTTCAAAAGGGAACCTATAAACCGCAAAAAAACAAGGGAACAAGGGGCCTACTCTGGGTCCCATCTTCAAGTAAACCCTGTGAACCCTATGAGCCGTACAAGGCACATAACATGCTAAAACAACCCGAAAAACCCTAGCACCCCAAAGCCATGGTGACTCCGCGCCCTCACCCACTCGATGCCCAATTGATACCCGAAACGCCTACGTGCCTCAACTCTGCTCCCGAACGCCTCCAGAGGTCTCTCAAGCCGAGAAGCCCTAAGCTTCTCCTCTAATCCTAACACTTGGTGTAGGGTTTAGGGTGTAGGGTTTAGGGCCTAAACCTCTAAAACCCAAAACACAAAGCCCACGCAGAGCAACAGCGATCAGAACCCCTGTAAACTATAAACACCCTGAGGCAACGTGGCAGCAGAGCAGAGACGCTGAAGTGGTGTGAGCCTGGGTCTTGTTCTGGGTTAACACTACTCTTCTGCCCTAAACCCTAAACCCCCTAAACCCCCTAAACCCCCTAAACCCCCTAAAATCCCTAAACCCCAAATTCCCATGCTGGTTTTTTGGGGGTGCCTCAGTCCATATTCTATGAAAGAAAGCCCTTGGGTGGACTTCTTGAGGCATTTTGAAGGCTTTCGGGGGCGGGGGCTTAAGAGTTCTGAACCGGCTTCAGGGAATGAGGTTGTAGAGACAAGGCACCCTAAACCCTAAACCCAATTTATAAATTCTGTAGCCTACGTCAGCCACACACTGGCGTGCAGAGAAAGGAGAAATGACAACTAGCATGCTCCGCATTCGAAGCCGAACTCCTGAGGCAATACCATGGCGGGTTTGGGGCTTATAAGACCATTCTGCCAGCTGCATAATGGGATCGCAATAGCGGTTTGCCAGTTCTCATATATTGGCCAGTGCACATGAATAGCACAGTTGTGATTTGTCCGGCGTGGATGGAAATTAGTGTTTCTCGTTGTGTATTTCGCGTAGTCGCCCCCTGAACCCTGCCCATTCACCGCATGAGTACGCAACACATCATCACATGGAGCACAGATGAATTGAACCTAACTCTAAATCCCGATCACCAGAATCAACAACAACCTGAACCCCTAAAACCCGCACCAGCCAAGCAGCCCAAACTCCAAACCCCTGAGCACCCTAAAGCTTGAAAACATGCCAAGCACCCTAAGACACCAATTCTAGACCCTCTACACCCTCAACTCTAGACCCTAAGGACTCGACCCTAAACCCCAAACCCCAAACCCCAAACCCCAATTCCTAAACCTTAAACCCAAACCCTAAAAACCCTAAGCCCCAAACCCCAAACCTTAAACCTCAAACCGCAAACCCTAAACCCTAAACCCTCAAGTCACAACCTAAACCCTTAAGCTATACCCCCACCCCCTACACCTCAAACCGTACACCCTAAACCCTAAACCCCAAACCCTAAATCCCAAACCCTAAGCCCCAAACCCTAAACTCCAAATGCCGGACCCCAAACCCTAAACCCCAAGCCCTAAGCCCTAAACCCCCAACCCTAAACCCTAGACCCTAGACCCTAAACCCCAAACCCCAAACCCCAAGCCCTGAACCCCGAAACCCTAAACCCCCAAATGCCAAACCCCAAGCCCTGAACCCCGAAAGTGACAAGCGCCGGGCTTGGACTGCCAGGGCTCCGGGAGCATCTCCTCCCAGGAGGCGGAGTTGCTTGGAGAGTCAGGCTTAGGTTTAGGGTTTAGGGTTTAGGGTTTAGGGTTTAGGGTTTAGGATGCAGGGTCTAGGGATTTAGGGTTTAGGGCTTTGGGTGGTCGCGTGGGTTGCGTGGGTTGTGTGGGTTGTGTGGGTTGGGTGGGAACCCTAAACCCTAAACCCTAAACCCTAAACCCTAAACCCTGACCCCTTGGTCTTGATGGTCGTGTCTGGGGTATCTGGGCTCGGGTACGGTTCGGGGGAGGGATCGTAACTTCAGGGTATAGCTTGGGATGTTCCTCCCTACACTAACAGTTCTTAATAGGGATGATAATAGGGGGTACAAAACCCCTTTCAAGGACTGTTAGGACGACGGGGAACTTTTAACCCTAAACCCTAAACCCTAAACCCTAAACCCTAAACCCTAAGCCTGTAAGGGGGAACATCCCAAGGTATAGCTTCAACCCACTCCACCCTCCCAGTTGGCCTTCTCTGCCTCCACCGAGTCATAGATGGCCTTGAACTCCTGCGGCATCGCTACAGGGCTTAGGGTTTAGGGTTTAGGGCTACTATATAAGGGCCTGAATAAGTAGAATTAGGTTTTGAGGGGGTTATTGTAGTATCATTCTAAAGGGACCATACGGGAATACTATTCGTAATTATTCCGACCCCTATATTACGCTTGGTGATGCCCTTTTCCGCCTCGCCCTGCTCGACCCACCTTCCCTCCACAGGCCCCGCAAGCCC